AACCATTCTAATAGCCGCCGTAATCGGAGTAATAACGAGAATGGCTGTAAATACAAAAAAAGTACTCATCGACAACGGTCTCTAAACGCCAGAAAATCCCCGTTTTTCCCAGGACCCGCGGGAACTTCAGGCTTTTTTCACCTGCCGAAATGTCCCCGGTGTCCTCTTTATTTCCACCTTTCCAACGAATCCGTAAACGTCCGCGGTTCCCGTTAGTTGAATCCCTACGAATAATTTTTTTTTTCTGCAGCAGAATCGCCACCAGCGAGGCAGCGCCAGCCTTTCCCGTGCTGCTCGGGCGGTGCTGCTGCGGCGGGCAGGGGCGGCGGGGCCGCGGGGCTCGCTCTCCCGGGCCGGCCGTCAGAGGCCGCCCGGGGCTCCGCCGCTGGGCTGCTCACGCCAGCGGCGGGCGGCGAGCGCGCTTGTGTGCGCGGAGTCCGGGGCCGCCTCCCGGCCCCGCGGGCTCCCGGCCCCGGCTCGTTGCCGTCGTCCTCCCGATAGTTATTTGCTGCCCCGCAAATAACTCCCTGGTGGGGAGTCGGGGCTGCCGTGCCAAGGCCGAGCCGAGCCGGGCCGTGCGAGGCCGCCCCCAGCTCCCCTGCAGAGTCTGCGTCCCCCCCACACCCCCGCCCCCCCGAAAGCCCGGGCTCGCCAGGGGCCAGCCGGGGTGCAGAGGTTGGGGGCGGGAGGGACGGCGGGGCCGGGCAGGGGCCGGGAGAGCGGGCAGAAAGGAGGGATCGCGGGAGGGACGAGTGGAGAGATGCTGGCGGAGGGGTGAGTGCGGAGAGCGGACGGAGGGAAAGCGGCACAGTGGGGCTGTGTCTCAGTCAGGCCCCGGGGATGCGGGGAGAGCCCGTCGGGGCCGCGACGCTCCTCTATCGCAGCCTGGACTCGGGGTGCACGGAGGAACCCGGCTTGGGGGACCCGGGCACTTCTGAAGTAACAGGGCCACGGCTCAGTGTGAGCGTCCGTGACCATGGGCACCTAGCCCGGCCCGTGGGGAACGGTGCCGACAGGGAGTCCCGTGCGAGGGAGGACGAAGGCAGCAGCCGCTGGTGTCCGCCTCCGTCTCGCCTGAAAGGTCTGGGGGATGATGGTGTGCGGAGCCCAAACAGGGGAGGGGGTTGCGGCAGATATTTATTGTGGGGGGGTCGGGAAAGGTGGTGGAGCGGCGGGGACACGGCGATGCTCGGTTTCGAGGGCCGGGACTTGGGGGTTGCCGCCGTGGGGAATGCGTGATCGTTGCCACGCGTTGCATTCCTCGGTGCCACCACGGACTTTTGAGCCATTGGGCTACATCTTTTCGGGACGAGGCAGATGTGTGTGCCCATGGAGGATGAGGAAAAAGGGGGAGAGGTTTCCCAACCCTTCCGCATCGAGCTCCTGGCGTTTTCTCACCGAGGAGCCGTTCCAGCGGAGAGACGGCGGGACACCCTCGACCTCTGTTCCCACCTGCTCGGGCGAAATGTGAGCTGCGAGGAGCAGAACCTCTGGGCTCGATCCTAACAAACACACCCGTCTTCTAGACGAATGCAGAGCCAGGGGCACAGCAGTAATGGCTAACGGCGGGGTTAGCAACGCCGCGTCCAGACGGGATGCGCTTTGTAGCGCTTTGCCAATGCCGAGCGGTTTAGGAACGGGACATGTGTTCTGGGGACTTCTGTCAAACGCGACCTCTGGGTATAGGCCCTTTTCGGGGTGCAGGAAAGGGGTAGACCCCGCTTGCTGCACAACGCCGTGCCACCCTCTCCCTTGGGTGGTTCTGTCCCTGCGGGGTCCCTATTGCAGGTCAGACAGGGTTGGTTTCCCCCTTCGTTGTCTCAGCTCTGCCCAGCGCCGCTCACGCGTGTGAGAACCCTGCGTGTCTGCGAGGCCGGGCAAGGGATGAGCGAGGGGGGCGGTGGGGTCTTCTCCCAGGGATTTGGGGTTTCGAGGATTCAGCCCCGCCATTTGGCGAGGACCTGCTTCGCTGCCGCCCAGATGACAACGATTCCTGGCGGGTCCTTTGCTCCTGGTAGACACCGCTCAGCCCCGACTCTGCCGGCCGGGTGGACAGGCCGAGGGATCGGTCTGCCCCCGGGCTGTCCCCAGCGTGGCGCCGCTTACAGCTGGAGCTTTATGTAAGGAGCAAGAAAGGAGAAAGGAATAAACCTGGGAAACGGTGCGGGCAATTAAGGCAGGGACTGAAACCCCAAACTCTGCTGGGGCGTTGGTTTCGGGGGTTTTCTTGCTTCCCAGGGGGAATATTTTCTTTCCTCCTGGAGCACAGGCTGTCCAGAGCCAAGCACACCTCGGGGAAGGGGCATCAGCGTCCCGCTCACATCAGCCCTTGAGTTCCCGGAGGCGGCTTGGAGTTCACACCCGCGGCTCCTCGCTTTCCTCCGATATTGCCCCGGGGTGCCCAAACGAAATCCCTTCCCCTCCTTCTTGTATTGCCGCCAGGTGAGCAGCGCGGGTCAGTACCGGGACTGTCTTCTCCGTGGCGTGTCCCTGAGCTCGCGACAGAAGCTGCCCCGGCCAGGAACCGCGCTGCCAGCAGCAGCAGCAGCAGCAAAGAAACAAAACAGCGATCGTGTCACGCTCTGCCCTTATGCCGTTAGCTGCAGGAACATATGCTCAAATATGTAAGAGTAGTCTAGATTTTTCTCTGCAAATATTTTTACCACATCCAAAGATAATATTTCAACAGAAGAATCAAGCCCCGCAGGCTACAGACAGGGCAGCTATATATAACCCGCTTGCTCACTCCGGCTCTCCGCGCATCGCTCGGGTTATGCAACCCCCACCGCGACGGTAGCCACCGGCGCGCCCCACAGCTCCGCCCGCCCCGTCGGGGCAATTCCCCGGGACCTCGGTGCAGCTACCCGCCCGGAGGGACCGGCACCGGGGCGCGGACCGAGACTGGTACTGGTACCCGGGCCGGGCCGGACCCGGCGGGGCGGGCGCGTCGCCGTGCCCCGCGCCGATGCGAAGGAAGGGCCCGGGGAACGCCGCGGCGCTCCGAGGGGCCGGTAGCGGGCGGTGAGTAGCGCCTCGTCCTCGCCGGGGCAGGGACGGGAACCGGGCGCGGCTCCCGGCCCAGACGGGCCGTGCAGGTGCTGCCGACGGAGCG